TGTCATATCCAGGCTTTGAACCCAAGGCTTTATGACTCCAGTGCTTGGGGGTGTATAGGTTTACACAGGGTTCCGCTGCCCCACTCCACTCCAATTCATGTTCATCCCCCATGAATGCACCCAGGCTGGAGTGCAGTGGCACGATCTCGGCTCACTGCAACATCCACCTCCTTCCTGGGTTACAGCAATTCTCCCACCTCACCCTCCCGAGTAGCTGGGATTACAGGCATGCACCACCATGCCCGGCTAATATTTGTATTTTTCAGTAGAGGCAGGGTTTCCTCATGTTGGCCATGAGGTTGGTCTCAAACACTTGACCTCAGATGATCTACCCAGCTTGTCCTCCTAAAGTGCTGGGATTATAGGCGTGAGCCACCACGGCTGGCCTATTCCCCCATCTTTCTGATGAGGAGTAAGAGGCGAGGAGAGTCTAAGAAGTGTACCCCAAATCCACCACCTACTAGTGTCAGAGCCGGGCTTTGTACCCAAGCTTTTGACTCCAATGCTTTGGGGTGTATCGGGTTGCATGCTGTTCCACTGCCCTACTCCACTCCAATTCATGTTTACCCCCATGAATGCAACGTTATTTGGAAGTATGGTCTTTGCAGATGTAATTAGTTCAGATGAGGTCCTACTGGATTAGGTTGGCCTGTAAATCCAATCTTGTGTCTTTTCTTGGATGGAGTCTTATTCTGTCGCCCAGTCTGGAGTACACTGGCACAATCTCAGCTCACTCCAACCTCCACCTCCTGGGTTCCAGCAATTCCCCTGCCTCAGCCTCCCAAGTAGCTGGGATTAAAGACATTCACCACAATGCCCAGCTAATTTTTGTATTTTTAGCAGAGACGGGGTTTCACCATGTTGGCCAGGCTGGTCTTGAACTTCTGACCTCATGATCCACCCACCTCACCCTTCCAGAGTGCTGGGTTTACAGGTGTGAGCCACCACGCCCGGTCGCAAATCCATGTTTCTAACTGCAGTTCCCTTTCCAGGACACCCTCCCAATGGGCAACTCAGCAACATTTTTCTTCTTCTGTTGTTTTGTTTCTGGGATTAGAAAGCCCGCCACTGTCGCCCTGTGTCTCTGAGGACCACCACAGCAGGTCCCTCGAGACACTGTGGGTGGGTCCACTCTCCCTGGAGGCCAGGCCGCCAGGGACGCTCCCTAGAGGAACACACCACCCTCTGCTTGTTGCCTGAGAGGCATCTCCTGGGAGCCTGGCAATCAGAAGACACTTGCATCCTTCTCTCCGCACTAGACAGGGGTCCTGTTTCATTCCCCTTGGAGTTCCTAGGATCTGGCACATACTAGGTTCTTTGTAAATGTTTCATCTTGAATAAATGCCCCGTTTCACTGTCAAGAATCATTTGGATGGTCTCAAACCGGTTCGCTTACAGATTTAATCGATTAAACCAACAGAGTCAGTATTTTAAGCCTCCTACTGTGTGCCTGTATCTGATGCATGCCATCCAAGAGAGTCTGTTACAGGAAAGGAATCCCGATCCAGACCCCAAGAGAAGGTTCTTGGATCTTGCTCAAGAAAGAATTCAGGGCGAGTCCATAGGGTAAAGTGAAAGCAAGTTTATTAAGAAAGAAAAGGAATAAAATAATGGCTATTCCATGCACAGAGCAGCCCGAGAGTTACTGGCTGTCCATTCTTATGGTTATTTCTCTTTTTTCTTTTTTTTTTTTGAGAAGGAGTCTTGCTCTGTCACCCAGGCTGGAGTGCAGTGGCACGATCTCAGCTCACTGTAACCTCTGACTCTTAGGTTCAAGCAATTCTCCTGCCTCAGCCTCCTGAGTAGCTGGGACCATAGGCACACACCACCATGTCCTGCTAATTTTTGTATTTTTACCAGAGACAGGGTTTCACCATGTTGGCCAAGCTGGTCTCGAACTCCTGATTTCAGGTAATTCACTTACCTGGGCCACCCAAAATGCTAGGATTACAGGCCTGACCCACCTCGCCAGGCCTTATTCCTTGATTATTGCTAAACAAGGGCGGATTATTCATGTCTCCCCTTTTTAGGTCATATTAGGCAACTTCCTGACATTACTAAGGCATTTGTAGGCCGGGAGCGGTGGCTCAAGCCTGTAATCCCAGCACTTTGGGAGGCCAAGGCGGGTGGATCACGAGGTCAAGAGATCGAGACCATCCTGGTCAACATGGTAAAACCCTGTCTCTACTAAAAATACAAAAAATTATCTGGGCATGGTGGCACGTGCCTGTAATCCCAGCTACTCAGGAGGCTGAGGCAGGAGAATTGCCTGAACCCAGGAGGCGGAGGTTGCGATGAGCCGAGATCGCGCCATTGCACTCCAGCCTGGGTAGCAAGAGCGAAACTCTGTCTCAAAAAAAAAAAAAAAAAAAAGGCATTTGTAAACTGTCTTGGAGCTGGGGAGAGTGTAGCAGTGAGGAAGACCAGAGATCACTCTCATCACCATCTTGGTTTTGGTAGATTTGGCTTCTTTATTGCAGCCTGTTTTATCAGCAAGGTCTTCATGACCTGTTTCTTGTGCCAACCTCCTATCTCATCCTGCAACTTAGAATGCCTACCCATTAGGAACGCAGCCCAGCAGGTCTCAGTCTTAGCATTCAAGATGGAGTTGCCCTGGTTCAGGAGCCTCTGACAAGTCTATTACTGTGGCCATTTTACAAACAAGGTGACATTGTTCACTCACACCCACAGAGCTAAGACCGAGCAGACGGGGGATTCAAACCCAGGTCTGCGGGATTTGGAGGTTCCCTCCAAACCCATCCTCTTTCCAGAACACCTACTCCCTTCGAACAATCATCCATTGGGTGCTATGAGCAATATCCTTAGTCCTCATCTTTCACACACTAAATCAAAAAACTTTCCGTCGTTTTTTTTCTTTTCCTTTTTGTTTTGGAGACAGTCTCGCTCTGTCTCCAGAGCAGTGGCACGACCTCTGCTCATGAAACCTTCGTCCCTCAAGTTCAAGCAATTCTGCCCCCGTCAGCCTCCTGAGCCTGGACTACAGGTGCCCGCCACCACCCCTGGCTAATTTTTGTTTTTTGAGACGGTGTTGCCCTGTCACCTAGGCTGGAGTGCAGTGGAGCGATCTCAGCTCACTACAACCTCCACCTCCCGGGTTCAAGCGATTCTCCTGCCTCTGCCTCCCGGGTAGCTGGGACTACAGGTGTGTGCCACCACACCTGGCTAACTTTTCGTATTTTTAGTAGAGATGGGGTTTCACCATGTTAGCCAGGATGGTCTCAATCCCCTGACTTCATGATCCGCCTGCCTTGGCCTCCCAAAGTGCTGGGATTACAGGCGTGAACCACTGCGCCTGGCCTAAGTTTTGTATTTTTAATAGAGACAGGGTTTCACCATATTGGCCAGGCTGGCCTCAAATTCCTGACCTTGTGATCTGCCCGCCTCAGCCTCCCAAAGTGCTGGGATTACAGGCGTGAGCCACCGCTCCTGGCCTTGATTCCTTTTTTTAACTTCAGTACAGGGTCTCGCTATGATGCACAGGCTGGTCTTGAACTCCTGGACTGAAAGGATCCTCCCAAGTAGCTGGGACTATAGACGTGCACCATACACCCCTGGCCCGACGTCAGGCATTCTTGATGGCGGGTTTCTCAGAACCTCTCCAGCCCGCTTCACTGAGGGTCCTCAAGCCGGGGGATGGTGACCTGCTACCAGAAATCTCGTCATTGCTTTTGCAGATTTGACGTCATCTGCCAGCCCCACTGCCCTGGAGGGGCTGGGGGTGTATGGTAAGTTTCCTTTTTCTTTTTCTTTTTTTTTGAGACAGAGTCTTGCTCTGTCACCCAGACCGGAGCGCAGTGGCGTGATCTTGGCTCACTGCAACCTCTGCCTCTTGTTTTCAAGCGATTCTCTTGCCTCACCCTCCCAATTAGCTGAGACTACAGGCACGGGCCACCATGCCCAGCTGATCTTTTTTTTTTTTTGAGACAGAGTTTCGCTCTTGTTACCCAGGCTGGAGTGCAATGGCGCGATCTCGGCTCACCGCAACCTCCGCCTCCTGGGTTCAGGCAATTCTCCTGCCTCAGCCTCCTGAGTAGCTGGGATTACAGGCACGCGCCACCGTGCCCAGCTAATTTTTTGTATTTTTAGTAGAGACAGGGTTTCACCATGTTGACCAGGATAGTCTCGATCTCTTGACCTCGTGATCCACCCGCCTCGGCCTCAGTCGAGTAGGGGTTTTACCATGTTAGCCAGGCTGGCCTTGAACGCTTGGTCTCAAGTGATCCTCCTGCCTTCATCTCCCAAAGTGCTGGGATCGCAGATGTGAGCCATCATGCCCACCTGGAGTGAGTCTTCTTAGCCCCCTCAGGTCCTGGAACTCTGGAATTCTCAGGACCTCCTTTGCTAAGGAAGTGGCTTTTTCTTTTTTCTTTTCAATTTTTTTGAGATGGAGTATCATTCTTGTTGCCTAGGCTCGAGTGCAATGGTGCAATCTCAGCTCACCACCACCTCTGCCTCCCGGGTTCAAGTGATTCTCCTGCCTCAGCCTTCCAAGTAGCTGGGATTACAGGCATGCACCACCATGCCCAGATAATTTTTGTATTTTTAGTAGAGACAGGGTTTCTCCATGTTGGTCAGGTTGGTCTTGAACTCTCAACCTGAGGTGATTCGCCCGCCTCAGCCTCCTGAAGTGCTGGGATTACAGGCGTGAGCCAACGTGCCCAGCCAGAAGTGTTTTTCACATGAGTTGATGATATTGATGATGACGGTGATGATAATGCAGATGCTATAACTCTAGCGGTTTACCACTCCTGCATGTGCAACCTATGCTGGGCTAAACTTCGACGTCAATTTAGCTCTTGGACACTCAGCCCTATGGAGGAGGATACTATCCTCATTTCACAGATGGGGAAACTGAGATCATTCTCACAGAACTTAAACTTCATTCTGATGGATAAGCTGCCTCTTATTCCATGACACGCCACTGCCTCCAGTCAGAGCTGACTGCAGAAGGCCCTTTGGAATCTATGCTCCGTCTGCCTTTCACACCCGCCCACCGGACGGACAGCCTCAGTCTGCAGGGTTACAGCCTGGAGACAGCCACAGGAGCCTCAATTTCCTTCTGCATAGAAACCAGCAGGATCTCCTTGTGCCGTGGCCCCCAGGTAAGCGGGACCCAGCATGGAGCCGAGGTTTCTGTGACCCCCGGGGTCACCTTGGTGGGAAGGCCACAGCCTCCCTTTGACCTGTCAGCAGAATTCCTTCAAGTCACCCCAGTTTTCCTGTGTCTGAAAGGAGACTAATCACAGTGAAGCAGCTTGAGGTCCTGGTCTGAAAAGCATCATTATTACTTGCTCGAGGGTCTTGGCATCTTGGGGCTTCAAGGGGGGGAAAAAGAAACCCACACTGATTTCTAATGCAAATTGAGCTTGAAGAGGATCCCTGGGCTCTTGGAGTTCCCAGTCACCCACAGTGGAGGGCACACGCCATGGGAGACTGTTGCCTTGGGCAAAAAATTTCCTCTCATCAAGACAAAAGCCAGATAGGGTCATTCCTCTTTCAGACCCCACCACGCTGCTGCCCCTAGCATCCAGCCAAATGGGCAGCCACAGCTGGAGTCACAGTGGAATTCCCAGATCAATGGCCCAGGAGGCTTTCAGCTCCCTGCTCCTCCCAGCTCCTCACCCGTGATACACAGACATGCACGCACACACACACACACACACACACTCATACACACACACAATCACATGCATGACACTCATTCACACATGCACACTCACTCAGACGTTCACATACAACACTTACACTCTCCCAGACACAGACACGGCACACAAAATCACATGCACGACACTCGTTCACACATGCACACATACAGACATGCACACTCAACGCACACACTCTCCTAGACACACATACAGGTACGCACAATCACAGATATGACACATTCACACATGCACACACAGAGACAAGTCCACACACAACACACTCTCCCAGAGACACAGACACACACACAATCACACACATACACTCACACATACATGACACTTGTTCAAACATGCACACATACTCATAGACATGTGCGCACACAGACACTCTCCCAGACATGTTCATACAAACATACACAATCACACAGGCACCCCCACACACACTCACATGCCCTCAGACATGTTCACACACAGAGGCTCACACTCATTGTCACAGAGGTACATTCACAAGTGTTTCCACACATTTACACATGGACATGTGTTTACACACATACACACACACAAGTCTCACAGGCACACACAACACACACAGAGACATGCACACTCTCAAACACACATTCACACATTAGACTCATTCCCACACACTTTTTTTAGTCTCTTACATTCACAGACACATGTGCATGCACAATACACACAGACATTCATACACACACAATTCTCAAATGTATACAAAATGCACATTTACAGACGCCCACTCACACATGGACACACACATTCACAGACGCATGCACACACTCACTCATTCACACAAAGACACACTTATTCACACGTAGATGCATGCACACACTCATTCACATGTAGACACATACATGCACACACACCCCCTCTCAAACATTCACACATGGACGCACACACACACTCAAACACTCATTCACATGTGGACGCATGCACGCACACATTCACACGTGGATGCACGCATGCACACACTCAGAAACACACGTGGACCCACGCACACACATTCATGTGGATGCACACACGCACGCACACGCTCAGATACTCATTCATACGTGGACGCACGCACACACACTCAAACATTCATTCACACATGGACGCATGCACACACACACTCAAACACTCATTCACACGTGGACGCACGCACACACACTCACTGGCCCTTCCCTGTTCATCCGAATTCCTCTCTGGCACCGTTTCCCTTGATGTCTCCTTGGTGTCTTTTTCTCCTCCTCAGCCCTTTTCTCCAGACCTGGGGCTACTCAGCCAAGATGCAGAAATCCCTGACGTGCTTCCAGGCTCATAGAGACCGAGCAAATACTCCTTGGGTTTTGCTTTGTTTTGTTTTGAGACAGAGTCTCTCATCTTGCTCTGTTGTAAGCTAGAGTGCAGAGGCGCGATCTCGGCTCCCTGCAACCTCTGCCTCCTGGGTTCAAGTGGGAGCCTCAGCCTCCTGAGTAGTTGGGACTACACGCACGCACCACACGCTGCTAGTTTTTTTTGTATTTTAGGCCACGGAATTGTATGTTTTAAAATGGTTAATGTTATGTAAATTTCACCTTAATTTAAACAAAACAAAACAATACCAGTAAGCTCTGGGCTTCCCCTTCCAGCTTACCCTGGAGACCCTGGAGATGAATGTCCCCCCTCCGCACCCCCAAACCCCGGGTTTCTCTTTCTGTTTCCATTTCCTTCCTCTGGAGCCCTCCTCCTTCCCTCCTCCCAGGTCTGGTCTGTTTCTTCTCTCGTCCTGTTACTGGCATGATAGAAAGCCCCTTAATCCAGGAATCCTTGCTGCTCTTCCCACGTGCCTCAGGCCATAGACCAGATACTGCACACTGCTGACCTTGGGCCAAGTCTCACCCACTGACATATTTTCCTTGGCCCATACAGTGTTCTAAGAATTTCCAAGAGTTGCCAACATTTCAAAACAGAAAGATTTCACATGGAACACACACACACACACACACACGAGTTCCAGCTTCTCTGGGGAAATTCAAAGGCACCAATCACTCTGGGCCCTCATACCCTCACGGCTGTAGGAACCAGGCTGCTGTGGACCCATCAGAGAAACCCTCATCTCCAGTTTACCGCAGTCCCCACCACTCCTTAGAATCTTAGGCAGCATCAGTTTTCCCTGCCTGGCCCCTGTGGCTTTGGAGTTTGTCACAACAGCTGTAGACAAATGACTGAACCTCTTCAGCCCTCATCATCAAAATGAAGAGGATGGATTAGGTGATCTTTAAGGGTCTTTTCAGCTGACAGTCAATGACAGCTGCAAACTTGACTTTATTTATTTATTTATTGAAGCCAGGTTCTTGCTCTGTAACCTAGGCTGCAATGCAGTGGCATGATCATAGCTATGGTAACCTCAAATTCCTGGATACAAGACATCCTCCTGCCTCCACCACCTGAATAGCTAGGACTACAGGCACAAGCCACTGTATCTGGCAAAGTTTTATTTATACATTCATATATATATTTTAGATGAAATTTCTCTCTTGTTGCCCAAACTGGAGTGCAATGGTGTGATCTTGGCTCACTGAAGCCTCCGCCTCCCGGGTTTAAGAGATTCTCCTGCCTCAGCCTCCCGAGTAGCTGGGATTACAGGCACGTGCCACCACACCTGGTTAATTTATTGTATTTTTTTAGTAGAAACAGGGTTTCACATGTTAGCCAGGGTGGTCTTGAACTCCTGACTTCAGGTGATCCACCTGCCTCAGCCTCCCAAAGTGCTGGGATTACAGGTGTGAGCCACCACACCTGGCTCTGGTAAAGTTTTTTCATTATTTTACAGACTTGATTTGGTGCCCAGGCTGCTCTCTAATTCCTGGGCTCAAGTGATCCTCCCACCTCAGCCTCTCAAAAGTGCTGGGATTACTGGCACAAGTTACTATGTCTGGCCAAACTTTTCTATCTGCAGTGTCTCTGGGCCTGGGGGCCCATCTGATGTGAAGGGTTGGGGATGGAGGAGAAATTGTTCAAAGATGCACTTGGCACCTTCACGCCCTGCCTCTATGAGTCTTGGCCTGCTAACAGCTTAGAGTTGTGCCTTTTCCTAGAGGGCTGTCCTCGGTCAAGTGGGAGCAGTCTCACCTGTCTGACCCCACTCCCAGAGCAGCCCACAGCCAATGACTGATTGACAAGGGTGTGAAGGGCCCGCCCCTTACCTCAGTGAGGGAAAGAATTAATAACTAACTGTGAGGCCTGGCACAGTGACTCACGCCTATAATCCTAGCAGTTTGGGAGGCAGAAGTGGGCGGATTGCCTGAGGTCAGGGGTTCAAGACCAGTCTGGCCAACATGGTGAAACCCCGCCTCTACCAAAAATATGAAAAACTTAGCCAGGGGTGGTGGTACCCGCCTGTAGTCCCAGCTACTCGGGAGGCTGAGGCAGGGGAATTGCTTGAACCAGGGAGGTGAAGGTTGCAGTGAGCTGAGATCATGCCACTGCACTCCAGTCTGGGTGACAGAGCGAGATTCCATCTCAAACAAAACAAAACAAAACAAAAACAAGCCAACTGTGAACTGTGTATACAGAGCTCCCTGCGGGACCAGGCTGAGACTCGAGAGTCACCACCGTTAGTCTCCTGCCCTGTCCTACCTCCTCTCTCCTTTCTCCTGAGAATATGTCACTCAAAAAACCACATCCCCCAATAAATGAATCCCCTCCTGTGTATGAAGCATGGCTCTTGATCAATCTGGGAAGCATATGCAACAAAATTAGAGGCAGGGGTGGGTTAGATGTCTCTTACCGGAGTTCATCTTAGCCATGGCACACCATGTGATGATGCTTCCTTCTTTTGTGGTTCCTACAAAATCATGCTTTTCTTAAGGACAAAAACTGTGCCTCATTTATTTCTGTATCCCCAGCACCTAGCACAGTGCCTGTCTCATCTTAAACAGCAGAAAGTAGCTTGTTGCATTGAGCTGAATGAACGTGTGTGTGTGCTTGCGCGCACACATGCACACACATTGTAGACACAAAAAACAGCCTCTTGTAGACTGGATGAGGTGGCTCACACCTGTAATCCCAGCACTTGGTAGGCCAAGGCAGATCACCTGAGGTCAGGAGTTTGAGACCAGACTGGCCAATATGGCAAAACCCTGTCTACACTAAAAATACAAAAAATCAGCTGGGCGTGGTAGCACACACCTGTAACCCCAGCTACTCAGGAGGCTGAGGCAGGAGAATCACTTGAACCCAGGAGGTACAGGTTGCAGTGAGCTGAGATCTCACCATTGCACTCCAGCCTGGGCAACAGAGTGAGACTCTGTCTCAAAAAAAAAAAAAAGATGTAAAGAAGGAAAAGAAGAAGAAAGAAAGAGAGAGAGAGAAAGAAAGAAAGAAAGAGAAAGAAGCCTCTCAGAGCATATGAACTCTGGGCATTTGAGACCTCAGTGTTCGTCCAGCTCCAACAGGACTGCAGAAAGGCCTCATTGCTA